TACTTTGATATCTTCATTGCCAATTTTATCTGTTGTCATTAGTTTGGTCTTCTTTATATTTAATTTTAGTCCCATTTTTCACTTTGCTCCTTGATTTTTATTATTAGACCTTGCAGATCCTTTGCATTTTCAGCTAGCAGGGTAGTGTCATTAGCATAGCACAGATTATTGATGTTTCTTCCTCCAATTTTAAATCCACGCTCAACTACTTCCAATCCAGCTTCCCTTAATATATATTCAGCATATAGGTTGAATAAATAAAGGGAGAGTACCAGCCTTGTCACACTACTTTGCCTACCTGGAGCCAGTCTGATTCACCATGTTCTGTCTGTACTGTGGCTTCCTGACCTGTATATGAGTTTCTCATGAGGACAATGAGATGTTCTGGGGTTCCCATTTTTCTGAGCATATTCCACAGCTTGACACGATCAGTACAATCAAAGGCCTTTCTATAATCAACGAAGCACATAATGACTTCTTTTTGGTATTATTTGGCTTTCTCAATTATCTAGAATGCATCAGCAATAATGTCTCATGTTCCTCAGACTTTTCTAAAGCCACCTTGAACATTAGGTGTCTAAGTATAAAATAGCACAATTCCCTTACCTCCAAAGAGACTGTAGACGACTTTCTGGAGTTCCAAACATACATATTTCCTCAAATGACAGCAGCATAATATTCAGATGAAATCTTTATTCTATACTTGTTTCTACTGAGAACAATTTATGGATAAAGCTCAATTCATAAGACACTCTTTTTTTCTCTCTCTGAATGGAACTAGGAGGCAGAAGTATAGCAACTAGCATAAAAAATATGGCAGACTTATTCCACTGAGTAATAATAACATCAAAATAACTTTTATAAATCAGAAGCTGGGGACTACACCAACAGTCCATTTGTAACAAAAATAGTTTTAAATTGCCTATGTTGATAAAGAGAAGTAGCCAACTGTGCTCTCTTTTAAAGACAGAGTTTTTAAAGGAATCATGCGCTTAAAGTCTTTTCTCCCCCAACTATTTAATTTCAAATTGTTCCACCCTCTCTTTAAGATCTACAAAATGCCTTTTTAAACTCACATTAGTACACTCTGAGGCCAATGATAAACATAAATGAATTTCTCTTTGGCCATTTGCCCAACTCACCAGTCCTCAGTTCATGAGCTATGATACAGAACTGGAGACACCAAAAACTCCTATCAAGCTTTTCTCTACGTCCATTTACTTTTTCAGAAACTGGGAAAAATGGCATGGTAAGAGTTGGAAGGCAGAATAACAATACTGTATGCAAATAAAATAAAATGAGAATCCTGTATGTTCCTTGACGTTAAAGGCCTGAGAACAGAAAAGATTAGCAGTCCAGCGGGCTTTGTTACTTGGGTCATTTTTGATGCTCTGATAAAAGATCATGGAATAGCAATAAAGCCTATTGAGGGCCAAGATCAAATTAATCAAACTCATCTTTTAAGGAAGCCATGAACAAGGGATCAAGTCTACCAGAAGACACAAGCTATCATAACCTGAATCAAGTGAAGCCCGAATTAGCTCAGCTGTGGACTAGACAGGAATTCTTGGAGCCATGGCTTGAATCAAAATTTTCCTTAAAGAATTCATATTGGGTTTCTCTCTCTATTCAACAGAAATACGTACACCTATGTAAGCAAGAGTTGCCATGAAAATCAAAGTAATGCAAGGGTTTATAGACAATAAATCATAGAGATATATCATATACAGTGGAAGTTATTCTGAACTGTGAAGGAGTACAAATAATGCACTTGAAGTTCCTCATAAATAAAATCAGCAACCAAACCCATAAAATTTACTTTTCTTTACAGCACCCCCATTTGAACATGAAAGAAAACATAACACATTTAGTTTTATAAAACTAACAAGTAAAAATAATATTAAGATGATTTTACATTGCAAATGTAATATTATTTGCTGGGTTCTGTTCTGACATGAAACTTCAAATAGCAAAACCACAAATAATGAGATCTTCAGTACATAAGAACTGTGGGGTGAGCTTATGGTTGCCCTTTTCCTCCCAAAGCATCATCTATGAAATGCATATGTATTTGTTCCCCTTCTACTTTGTTCAACTGTAGCAGAACTTGCTGGGTCAATCTGGTTGTAAAATTCCATGTGGCTTCCTTGTAGTTTTTGGCCTTTTTCTTTGGAGCAACTTGCTCATCTGGTGGTAGAGGAAGTCATCCTGTGTAATGGAATGTGAGAATGACCTTAGAAGACAGGGGGAAGAGATGCTGCTTAGGGAACAAAGGGGGAGGAGCCCCCAACTAAGTAATGGACTGAGAAACAAACTTAGAAAGGATCCACCCTAACTGATCAGGCAATAAAAAGAGATGGTGGGAGATTTGTACTTTCACACTTGCAAGATTCTATTAATGTAGCCTTATAGTAAAGTAGAATTAGTTCATCTGGTTGTGTTTCCTGTCTGGTTTACCTGGGAGGGCTGACATCCTGCTTGTACCACATGGCTCATTCAGGGTTTTCCACTCCACATGGGTCTTTTATGTTCTTGGTAAATGGGTCTCTCAATTGTACCCGCCAGATGCTAGTGTTGCCTTCAGATCACTCACAACTCCCTCTGATCACTGCCAGCAATGAGATGGCAATATGAGTGTCCAACAGCCCAACTGAGAGGCTCCTCCACTGAGATCATGAATGACATGAGCCACATGGCATGAGTAGGGTGCCCAGCTTTCAGGCTTCACCTAGATACAAAGGAGAAGCTGCCCCAGAATCTTGTTTCATTGGGTTTTTTTTCTTCTTCTTCATAAATGAAGCTTCCACATTCTAAGCCCAAACATCAGTATTATGGCCTACTACAAACTCATAATATAGCCCCCACATATATACAACGCAGTTATACTCCATACAGCTTAATGCAACACTAACTGGTAGAAAAGGTTAAAAAAAGGAAAAAGTAACTAAACACATAGAAAACAAGCTTTCTTGAAGGAAAATCAGCATGAATCCTGTCTGTCAACAGGCACCTAGATAAAGGTATCCCTATTTGCATTGCATACCTGGATATTCAAAAAGCCTTCGCTTTTCATTAATTCTTTTTAAATACATTTAGTAGTCATTAGATAAAAGGACTTGTTCTTTTATGAAATGGTAACCACTTAAAGAATAAGAAGGAAAA